CCGCCACCAGATCAGCCCCGTTATTCTCACTGCCTGGCACACAATAGAAAATGCTTGACTGAATTTTTAAAAATAAACTGTGAAAACTCCACAGCCATCTGCTGAACTGTGGCTAAGACAGCCTCAACTAGACACGCCCTCTCCCAGCCCAGGTGAGGGGAGGGAGGAGGAGGCCAGAGGTCAGGAACTGCAGAAACAAGTAGGGGGGAGGCGGGTGTCCTGCAATTGGAGCACCCACTCTACGAAAGGGAGACGGGCTCCTTACCTCACATGGCTGTGAGGGATTAGACTACATTTCTTATTCTGCTCATTAAATGAAAAGCAGCTGAAGAGATGTCAGCCACTAATACTCAAGATGATGGGGAAACAAGTAGCCTATCCAACACCGCAGGACACCAGGTCCACATGAGAAACATGGCTGGACCACAGGCTGCTCCCCAGCCAGGCCTTTCTGACGCTTCCAATTTCAAAAGAAGATTTTCCCACAGTGGGGCTTATCCTCTTCTGTCTGCCTAAATGTTACCATATTAAAACGTGGCTAACATTCAAGTAAGTGAGCCGGCACACTCTGCGTCCATGGCGACCGCACGTGACCGCCAGAGGCGCAGTGCCGGGAAGGACAGCAGCGGGAGACACAATCCTCACAGACCACCCACAGATGGATGAGTGAGATGAGTGTGCACAAAGCCCGCCAGACAACACGCTCCTCTCCTTTCCCTGGGCCTGCTCCTCCTCACACCACAGCCCAAGGCCTGAGGCCCTACCCAGACTCCCTCCGGCCCATGCGTCTCCTGGGTCGGCGTTCTAAGGGGCACACGGCGGTGGGGAGGGCAGGGATTGCACCCCCGGGCACAGCTTTGCTCTCAGCTCATCTGGTCAGACTCCTTTCTCTCAGGGCCCAGCCCCAGGGACATGGGTATCTCAAGGCAAATTTCTGCGGCTTTTTCAAAAAAGACCTTGCATCTGCATGGGGAGGAGGTGCGGGAGAGTACCTCTAAGAACCATTTCATGTTTAACACACACCCCAAAAGCCACGAGGGTCCCAGAGCATGAAGGCAGGTCCTGCCAGGCACACAGCCCAGGAGAGAGGGCCTGGAGGACGGGGTGCTGAGCACGGTGTCCATGGCTACATCTTGTTCCAGGGAGAGCCCACACCCCCACACCCCCATCAATCATCAGTGCAGTCTATTTTCCGCATCTCGTTCCCACCCTTCTCTGCACTTCTCCCTGGTGCTGTTAGCACCTTCCAGTCGCACTGACATCATCCATTATTCCAAAGCCCAGCTCCCTCCACTCCTGGGATCAGCAGACGGCTTCTCACCAGCAACACGAGGCCAGCTCGCCACCCTCCCGCCCCCCTCTCCCTCACACCATTTCCAGTGTCTGTTTCTCGAGCCTCTCCCTTCTGAGGCTGTCACAGCCTGGAAATGGGTTTAAGGTGAAGGCAGGCGAGGAGGGGGAAGGAGAGAGCCATTCTTGCCACCCTACTGCCCTCTCCTGGAATCCAGAGCAAGTGACAGTCAACAATGAGCCAGGGCAGACCTGAAGGAGCCCTCCTCGAGGGCGGCCTGAGACGCCCGAGCATGAAGGGGTGGCACCTCGGAGAGCTATGGTCTAGAAACTTGGACAACAGCTGTTCTCAGAGGGCGTGGTCCACAAGGCAGAGGCAGCCTTGTCAACTTCTTCAACGCGCCCTTTCCCCGCTCATCCCCGCCACTGCCCTGCCCACCAGGAAACGCCTCGGTCCTGCCTGCCTGCCCCTGCCTGCCTGCCCTTAGAGCACAGGAATCCAACACCCCCATGGCAAACATGACCATATCTACTGAGACACTGGAGACAAGGGTGGAAAGCGTTCAACACCTCCCACTCCAGGCACTGCCCCCACCACACGGCTGCCTGTTTATATTAAAGAGGTTAGACGGAATATGAGTAAAAGCATCCACTCACTCAAAACAGCGTATCATCATCAGAAGGAAAGCTCTTGGAAATCCAGGACGTGTCAAAGAAAATCCCCCCCCCCTTCTTTGACACTTGTAAAGTAAAAATGATAAAGCGAAACTTAACTAGCTCAAAGTCAAAGTTCATGACGATGGACCCACTTGGGGATCTTCAATCCACCTGCTGACAGCAGAGACCAAGCGTCCCCTCTCCCCAGGCCATGGGACAGCCCCGGGAAGAAAGCACAGCACAGCCTGCCAGGCCCCCTGCCCCACGTAGCCCGCTCATTCCCTCACCGCTCCATTCCCTCCGCTGTTCAGCAAAACCTGCCCGTGCCCTTCCTGTGGTCCAGGCAGGGGCAGGCCCTGACACACAGACGGGCGTAGGGTGGGCTCTCCACTCTCAATCTGCTCCGTCTCGTGGAGACCATCCTTTCTCCCAAAGCCACCCCCTTCCGACTCACGTCCTCCTCCCGGGCTCAGACCCTGAGCTGCTGTTCCACCGTCATTACAAGGTCTTGATGGTCAACAAGAGGAACAAAGTTGCCATTTGAGGAAGCAAACAGACTGAAGGCTTGGGATTTAATGCAAGCAGACCAGGCCCCATTTGGAAGGAAGAGTTTCAACACAGACACAGATCAGGTTGATGAAAAAAAACGGGACACTCAGAAAAAATGTCACATTTGGAAAAAAGTGTCAAAGTCACAATCCAAACGCATCTGATTATGCAGAGCCAACAACACGGACCGTTCTAGAGCAGCGGTCGCCAACTGGTGGTCCGCAGACCACCGGTGGTCCATGAGGTCCGAAAGGTTGGCGACCGCTGTTCTAGAGAAAGCCTAACTGTAAGAGGGCCTGCTATGGCTCTAGCAGGATCACCTGTGAAGACCCTCCCGTGACTCAGGGCCTGTCAGCCAACACCGCAACCTCCGCCGGTCCAAGGCATCAGCCCTGGCTCTGAGGGCGGCCGAGGACCAAGGCGTAAGAGTCAGAACTAACAGGGCCGTGGTAAGGGAGAAGGACGTAATAGTAAGAGGTCGTAAGAAAACAAATTTAAATCTGCGGCACAAGCACTGTTGTTTAGCGGTCAGTTCTGTGGTCATTCTAACGAAACGCGATGACCTGTTTCATTTTAAAGCATTTAAAGAATTTAGAAGAATTTGGCATGTTAGGCTTGGGGAAGCGTAACTAAGCTTGCAATCAGTAACTAAATGTTTGGGGAAATCTGAGTGGCTGACCTCATGATTTACTAGTTGTGTGAATACTTTGGGAATATATTGAGAGAAATGCTAATTGTTAAAAATGAATGCACACCAAAATGCACAGAGTATCTTGTTCCTTTTCAAGTACAAAAGTGCATTGGAATTTTGGGGTATTACAACAATATGGTAAGTTTGGGGTTTTGTTTGTTTGTTTATTTTTATAAGGAACATCCTGGTGGCAGTGAAGGCCAGACCAGGGAGAGAGATGAGAGCAATAGGACTGTTGGGGGCGGGATTTCCAGAAACTATTCCCAACCATATTCTGCATTTCCCAGGCCTTGTGCTCAAGATGTTTGCCTGTCTAACATATCCTCACATCCTCCCCGTTCCAACACTCACCCACTTCTGAAGACCCAGGCCAATTGTCCTCTCTTCCACCAAGTTCTCCCGACCTCTTGACCAGTAATTCCTTCCCTCAGGACTCCTGCAAGCCTGTGCCAAGTTCATGTACATGCTGCCCTGCTCAGAGCTTCCTACATCCTCATTTCCTTACCACTGACTGAGCACTTACTGAACGCCAAGAACCTAATCCTTTCTCTCTTTCCACTGCAAACTCCTTGAGGCCAGCCCGACCCAGACCTTAGTAACACCTGTATCTCCACAGGGCCTCGCACTGTGGCCTGTTACCCAGCCAGCATGCCACCAGTGTGCGGAAGCTGGGTGAGGTCACACCTGTGCAGTGGCATATACAGACCAGTATCCCACCAGTGTGCAGAAGCTGAGTGAGTCACACTTGTTCAGAGTGGCCTGTAACACCAGTCAGCATCCACCAGTGTGCAGAAGCTGGGTGAGTCACACCTGTGCACAGTGGCCTGTAACACCAGTCAGCATCCACCAGTGTGCAGAAGCTGGTGAGTCACACCTGTTCACCGTGGCCTGTAACACCAGCATCCCACTAGTGTGCGGAAGCTGGGTGAGGTCACACTTGTTCAGAGTGGCCTATAACACCAGTCAGCATCCACCAGTGTGCAGAAGCTGGGTGAGTCACACCTGTGTACAGTGGCCCGTAACACCAGCATCCACCAGTGTGCGGAAGCTAGGTGAGGTCACACCTGTGTACAGTGGCCCATAACAGCAGCATCCCACCAGTGTGCAGAAGCTGGGTGAGTCACACCTGTTTGAAACCTCTGATGGCTGCCAACGCCTGCCATTCAATCCAAACTTTGGAGCTGGCACACGGTCCTCCACAGTCCAGCACAGCCCACCCACAGCACTGTCTCAGTCCTCTCCCACATACGTCTTGTATCCTCTCTTCCTCAAACGCCCCCCACACCCCTGCCCCTGCTGTGCAGTGCCCTGCACCTGGACTTCTCCCACCACTCACCCTGCTTGTCTAGCCCTGCCTATTGTTCTCGACTCACCTCAGAGGTCAGTTTCTCAGTAGCTCTCCTGGTCCATCCAAATGGATGAGACTGCCACTCCCTCCCGGGCCTCTGTTACTTCCTGGCAGTCTCACTGCATTCGACTCTGCACTCCAGCCCTTTAGGTCTCTCTTTTATGAGACTATAAGCTCTTGTAGGGCAGGAATCACATCTAATTTAGGCATTTTATGACCTACACACCTAGCAAAGTACCTTATTTTGTAGAAACGTGCAATAAATGGTGGTTATTTGGTAAATGAATAAACAGATGAATTCCTTTCCCCTCTTGTGCTTCCCCAAGCCCCAGAAATCCTATCTGGACAGGAGTGGGACAAACGGTTCTCTTTCCTAACACACATTCCACAGGAAGAAAGGCGCGCGCCGCGAGGAGGGACACGCCAGGCTAAGCAACATCTGCTGCGGGGGCCTTAGGACCTTACCTCATACTCGAAGTTGCCCCCCAGGACCCCAATGTCCAGGTGCAGGTTCTTAAGAAGCTCACTTGAGCTGCGGACACTCTGAAACAGAAACGATTATGAGTGGTTGGCTGGAGGAAACTGGACAGCTCAAGTGAGGGTCGGGCTCTCTGTGGGTTACATGTTCTCTATCAGACCGAAGAGGTACACAGACCAGGCCAGGAGGGAGCTGTGGGCCGCAACGTCATTTGTACTTATTTTCAAAGTCATGCAGAGGTTAGCAAAAGGTGATGACCACCCAAGTGTTCATCAACAGTGAATGGATACACAAACTGGGGTCTATTCCTACAAGGAGGATAATTCAGCCATAAAGAGGAACGAAGTTCTAACACATGCTTCAGTGTGGAGGAACCGCAGGAGCACTATGCCACACAAAAGAAGCCACCCATTAAAGGACAACGCTGTGTGATTACACTTACAGGAAACGTACAGAATAGGCAAAGTCAGGAACAGGAAGGAGATGAGAGGCTGCCAGGGGCCGGGAGAGGCAAGGATGGAAAGTTATCGCTCAGGGCACAGAGTGTCTGTTTGGGATTATGGACAAGGTCTGGAAATGGACAGTGGTGACAACTGCACAACACTGTAAAAGTAATTAAGGCAGTGCTCGCTTCGGCAGCACATATACTAAAATTGGAACAATACAGAGAAGATTAGCATGGCCCCTGCGCAGGGATGACACGCAAATTCGTGAAGCATTCCATATTTTTCACTCATTTATGGATAATTAAGACCATTACACACTGATGAACAAAAATAGATACAGAGGCAGAGCAACATCAAACAGACTGTCAAAGTACAGCAGGAAGGCTGGGGAGGGTTGGGGGTGGGTAAGAGATCAACCGAAGGACTTGTATGCATGCATACGAGCATAACCAATGGACACAAGACACTGGGGGGCATGGGAGGCTAGGGGAAGGTCAAGGGGAGGAAAAAAAAAAGGAGACATATATAATACTCTTTGTAATACTTTAAACAATAAAACAATGAAAAAAAAAGTAATTAAGGCTACCTAATTGTATACTTAAATTAGTTAAAATGGTAACTTTCATGTTATATATATTTTACCACAACAAAAACTTTTCCAAAAAAAAAAATAGCACCGAGGGTCCTCGGGCCAGGAGGAGGATGCGTCATTACCTGGTTATCACTCTCCGCCTCCTCCTCGCTGGTCTCCTCCCCTAAAGCCAAGAGGCCGAGAGCATTCTTGTCCTCATGGATGGAGCCCAAGAGACCTTGCATATGAGTAGAAGTCCTGAGACCCTGCAAAGGCTCCAAAATAGAGAAAGAAAGTCAAGAGACTCATAAGGAAGACCTTCAGGTGACCTTCAGAATGCTCTCCCCGCTCTTTCGGTTTACATTTCCTCCATGGGAGCCAGCCACATCCACAAAGCTGACCCTGGTACCTGCGGTGCACACTGACCCCTCCTTCCCGGTGGCCACAGCCCTGGCTGCAGGACTGCAGACACTAGGGCGTAGGGCCGTGCCAGGGAGAGCCCACTTTCAGCAGCACACAGGTGTGACGCGCCTTCCCAACTGGACTATGAGCTTTGAAGTCTCGGCCCCTGCCCTCTGTTTCTCATCTGTGGGCCACATAATTCCTAGCATGGTACAAGGAGGCCCACAGTCACTCAATACACTTAACATATGAAAAGCACCTACCAGCGTGAGTTCTCCAAGCTGACCAGACTCCATGGACCTCCCCAAGCTCACATTGTGAGAGGCACGAAGAGCAGAGAGCGGGGCATCCACGAGGCCTCGTAAGGGAGCCAGGCCCCCAAGGGGAACGTGGACTGGGGCTAGAGAGGAGCCCAGGGCCTGGTCAACAGAAAACATCTTGTTACAAACCTAAGAAACCAGGTGGCTCTGTGAGGTGCAGAAAGAAACAAAAATGGAACGTCTACATCCTGTCACTCAAATTCAAACCACCTCCCTCCAGGGGCTGCTCATGAAACACAGCCTCCAGAATCAACGCCCTACCAGCCTGAGAAACCACAGCTGGTGCTCCGACCGCATGCCCCTGCCGCTGCCTCGCAGCACACATGCCCCTGCCACTGGCGCAGGCTGCAGGGCTGTGTCCTTCCAGGAGCCACAGGAAGGGCAGGGAGGGGAGCAGAGCCGGGAGCTCATCTGCCAGGATGAGAAGTCTCTACAGATCAAGTGTAAACTGACGAATGGGGAAAAGGCAGTGCAAGCACATTGCTTACACATATGAAGTCAACACCGGCGAGGGGCACCCCGAGAACTGCTGTCTTCTGTCAGATGCCTTTGGTGCTCTGACTGTGTAATAGGGGCATGTCTGCCCTTAAATATTAACTCGAACAATACACGTGAGCAACAGAAGAGGGGCTCCCTTCCCCCCTGCACTGAGGAGGAAAGCGGCTGATGGAGGCCCTCCAGAAGCCTGCTCCTCCCTGCTCTCCGACGGCTCCACGCCAGCAAGGGCGGGAGAGCCAGGCCAGCACCCGGAGCCTGAGACCTGGGCTACCCCCACACTCCTGGTCCTCAGTTTACCCCTCAGAAAGACAGAGATGTGTGTCCTATCACTGCAAGTCTGTGGAGAAGTTCAAATGAGGTCATAAATGCAAAGAGCATATGCGGTGGTAGTGCGACCCCACACTATGGAATCACTATTATTATAGGGACTCACATCACTAGTCTGGGCTTAGAAGCAGAGGCAAGGGTAGCATCTGGGAACAAATTTACAAAGAGCTCTCTAAAATCACTTCACAAACTGAAAATGTATAAAACAACCAAAATTCCATTTCTCTCCCACCCCACTGGGACTGGAGAGAGAAAGGGAACCGGAGAGGGTGAGAGTTAGAACATGCAGACAGCCCACTCCTCGCCCACAGCCTGGGCCAAGCGGCCGACCCCAGGCGGGCTCTGCACAGCGCCCCCTCCTGCAGGGGAAGGGCATCGATGTCCATCTGAAAGGTGACACGGAACCCCTCCCAGCCCTTTGCAGATTCCCGAACACCTGGCCCAGAGTGGGGTGTCCGTCAGGCGGGAAAAGAGGTGATGCTGAAAACACTGGCCAGCACTACCCAAGCACCAGGCACCGAGCTAGCGCCCTCCATGTCACGTCTCCCTGACCTCTGGCCACTGCCTAAGGCCCCCGTCCTCCCCACAGGAGCCAAAATAGACTGGTGAGGTCAAGACCCTGGCCCAAAGTCACAGAGCCAGCAGGGGGACAGGGATGGGCTGGGAAGCCCGGGCTCTCCCTAAGCCAGCATTTTCCTTTGCCCCCTGGTTGGGGCAGAAGAGGGGCCCAAGCAAGCTTCTCGGAGGTGAAATGGGAGTGAACCAAACCGGTTCCCCCAACTCCCCGCTCCTAACCCGCCCATGTAGCAGCAAGCACAATACTTCCCACTGCATTTATGGAAAATTACAGCCTCCTGACGTGGCTGATGTGCTAATGTGCTGGGGGCTTGAGGGAGGGAGACAGGCTTGCTGAGGGCTTTGCTCTCCGGGCCTTTACCAAACCCGTGGTTAGCGGGGAAATTATACATCCCTGGCGCCTAGCCGGTCATCTTCTAGAGATGGCCATTAACTCTGGCGATGGCTGCGCGTGGTGCTGTCCCTCAGAGCGGACGCACTCGCTGCCACTGCGCTAACTAGAACCTACAGGCTGACCTCAGCCCAGTGGGTATCCATAGCGCACAGCGGTCACTAGGGCAGGCAGAGAGTAGTGCACGCCAGCCATTAGGAGCCTGAGGGACACCAGGGAAAGCCATAGCCGGCAAGAGAACAGCCAGAGATTCAAATGGACCCCATGGTCTCTGATCCAACTTGACTTCTTCTAAGTGAAGAATATGGTGTGACTCGTTAAAGGGATAAAGAGTCAAAATGACAGGGAAAGCCCTCTCCCGCTTTGGTCCATCCCAGTAGGGGAGGAAGTGAAGGCAAACAGGGCCTGCACAGCTTGGCGCGGGTTCACATGATCTCTGGGAACCCTGGGAAGCCAGGAGCAGAAGCAGCTTCCTGGCTGGCAAGCCTGGGGCTCCGCCCGTGACATGACCCTCCAGCTCTGTGTGACCCTGAGGAGGGACTGATCCAGAGCTGGGCAGGGTCTGATTAGGAGGACCTCTCTCTCCAATCAGATCCTGGGGAGGTACCTAGCCCTCAAAACTCATCACCTCCCCAGCCTGGGAGGCCTCAGGAAGCCCAGGTGCCTTCCACCCTCTCCTGTAGGTGATGGGGTGGAAGAGACGGGAAATCCCTGTCACCCCCCAGGTGTCCACCCTGAGCAGTGGAGGGACCAATCGTTACCAAGGGAGGGCACATGGCAGGTAAGAGACCTACTGGCCACACAACCTGCCCCGTCGCCGCGGCACCGCGGCCTGGAGGCCACGCGGAGAAGCCTACCTGGTGGAGAAGCTGCATCTGGCCTGGCTCTACAGCGAGCCTTTCGTTGGTGCTCAGCTCGACTAGCGCCTGCCTGAGAGGGCTGCTGCTTGGCGGGAAACTGGCTTGCGGAGCGGCCTCCTGCCCAGCCAGGGCCAGGGCCAGGGCCCCCTCCTGAGGATGCTCCAGCTGCTCTGGTCCCCAAGCCAGAAACCTGGAGTCTCTCTCCAGGGCTCTGATGGCCTCGTACTCCCCCATACTAGACAGCCGGGAAGACTCGGCCGCCATGCCGCAGACCACGCTGGCGAGGTCTTTGCACGGCCTTTCCTGCGTGCTCTCGGGCAGCCCCAGGCCCTCCAGCCGCCGGGAGATCTTGGCCATCTGCAGGATGTGCTGGTAGAACCTCTGGTCCTCAGAATAGTCTTCGCTCTCTGACTGCTCCTCAGCAGAGCTCTGCAGGCGGGGCAACTGGGGCACCAGGAAGGGGCCGGAGGGCAGCCCTCTGGGTCCGGGGCCTGACTGACCCCCACCCCGCCCGGACCCCTGAGAGCTCTGCAGGTCCCACGGGAAGTTATTCACTTCGCCCATGACCTGAGAGCCGAGGGGAGAAGCCAGGCCACTGCTGCCGCTGCTCTCTAAGTCAGGCTCACACTCACTGGGCCTCCTGTCTTCTTCGGCGGGCTCTGGACACACTAGAGGCTGTCTCCTCTCACTGGCACTCCCTGAAGGGGCACTCTGGGCTGGCTCTGATGCCGGAGTGTCAGGTGGTATTTGGAAGAGCGCCTGGCATGGATCTCCCGCTGAAGCCCCGAGATCCCCAGGGTCAGTGGGCGCTGCTTCCTTGCAGCTCCCGGGGCTGTCCTTGTCGACAAGCTTGGAGACCTGTCCCATCCACAGCCCCGGGGGCTCTCGCCTCCTCCTTCCCCAGCCCACACCTGCCCCTTCCCCAGAAACACCTTGCCAGCGCAGGCCTTCAGCGGGGCCACTGTCCAACAAGAGCAGCTGGCACTGCCTGCCGGGCAGCATCTGGTCCGAAGAACAAGGGGACAGCGAGGGGTGCCCCTCGGAGGACGTGGAGGAAATGGGGCTCTGGCATTTGTCCCCCGCGGGGCCAGTGCTGTGCTGCAACCCTGCCAGCTGTGGGCCCTTGCTGGTTTCAGAGAGCCTGGAGTGCACGGAGGCCTGGCTCCTGCTTTCTAACACCTCCTGCCCGTTCTGGAGGGGCCCGCTGTCCTCGGAGCCCAGAGCGCTGAGTTTGGTCCTCATTTCCAGCTCTTCTATCTCAGGGTCTGAAAACCCCAGGTAGATTTTCTCAGCCAGCTTCTGGGGTTTCTCCAGACCCTGCTGATCACCTAATTCTGTCCTGCACTGGGCTGGGGCCCTGCCTAAGATCTTCTCCATGTTGGCAAAGAGCTGGTGGGTTCGGGAAGCGTGGCCTCTGGAGAGCGGCTGCAGCTTGCTGGGCGGGGTGCCCAGGAGGGCCCAGGGGGTGTCCCCCAGCATGCACGGACTCTTCCCTCTCTGAAAGGAGCCCTCATTTCTAGCCTGCGTGTCCTGGTCTAGATCCAGATCAGCAAGCCCAGGTGGGAGAGAGGAGGAAGGCAGAAGTCCCTGCTCAGGCGGTGTGTCCTAGATGGATACATAAACAGGCAGAGGACACTAAGGCAGAGCCCTCTGGGTTCACACCCGCCACCTCAGCCCGTGGCAAGCCCTCAGCAGAGACCCACGTCCACGTAAAGTAAAACGAAGCCCAAAGAGGGAAGGGAGCTCAAAGCTCCCTGGGCTTTGTTTTCTGGCCCCCGTTTCCTTTTCATAGAGAGGAGGCTAGACTAGGTCCACGGCTTACGAACCCCACAGGCCGGTTCCACATGGCACCCTGAGGGCGCTACAGGGACATGCGATGAGGAAGGGGCATCCCCAAGACCCACAGCCCGGGTGCCACCACAGGCACCACGTCCTCTCTACCCTGGACTCCGGAAGAACTGACCCGAGACAGCCTCCACCACTAACCAAAGCCTGAAAATCGCCAGCCAGACCAGCCTAAGGTACCATCACACTCTCAGCCCGGTGGCTGGTTAACTATAGGAAACCCACCAACCTCCTCCAGGCCTGCCAGCATGAGCTAGGAAGGGAGAGGCGAAGGGAACCTGCTGGGACCCACGCCCTGAAGCACAGCCTCGTCTTCTACCGAAGGCAGAGCTGGTGCCGCCAAGAGAGGGCCTGGCAGTGAGAGTGCCGGGGCAGGAAGACATCCTGGAAGAGCCATCAACCTGCAGGCACTCACAGGCAACTCCACCGGGCCTGTCTCAGAACCGTGCGCAGTGACAGGAATGATACAGGGTAAGTTCGTGAGCAACCACCAATGCCAGACTAGCCTTGGGGAGCACGGCAGGTGGGAAGCCTTCCCGGGAGGAGGCGCGGGTGGGAATGAAGACTATAAACAAAAGGGCAAGTCAGTGGACTTGACAAGGTTGGTAGGCCCAGTGCTCCTGCCCACCGACCCACGCTCCCCGCAGCCTGCCGCCTGCCCACGCCTGAGTGAAGGGAAGGAGGCAGCTTCCCTGTCCTGCCACAGCCACGGCCACGGCCACGGCCACGGCCACGACCGCTGGGAGTGCCCGGCCTCCTCAGTACAGCTCCCATTCAGCTTCTCTGCCTATAAAATGAGGCGATGACGCTACCTCCTAAAGGCAGACATACTGAAGAGATAAATAAAGAAAAAATGGAAAAAGCACCTTCAAATCTGAGCACAAGAGCCACTGGAGACCACAGTTATCCCACTGCAGTCACATTTCAGTTACTCGTCCCTAACCTAGGACCCTGGCAGCACAGCCCCCGGAAGTGGAGAAAGCCCTAAAGCTTTTCTCAGGGACCTGGCAGGCACTGGTGCTTTGACAGCTCAATGTGGTTCATCTGACGTCCAGGATCCTACCACTGAGACACGCACGGGCTCACCCAGGCTCCCTGAACTCTGCCAGCTGCTCCCTGTGCCCCTCTCCAGGGGGCAGATGGCAACACTTCTCTCAGTATTCCTGCAAACCACCCTCCTCAGCCGGGCACTCTCCCGCCAATCCTCCTCTGTAATATGTGCTTCCCAAGGGGGAAAAAGGAATTGTTTAAAAACAGTAACAACTTCAGAAGCTGAAAGAAAAAGTGCCGGAAGACTGGCACACCCTGGAGGATGTACCATCGAGAAATGACTATCAATCGTTATTCCTCACCTCCCAGCTGCACACACCTAGCGGTTCCCCGTATCACCTCAGTGGAAGCCCTGGCCCCTCTGAGCTGGCGTCCACTGGCTCACCATGGCGCTTCTGGGGGTCTCTTTGTCCTTCTTGTCTTTCTTTTCCTTTTTCTTCTTCTTCTCTTTCTTCTTAACGGCCCCAGAAGATGACAGCTTCCCTCGTTCCTGGATCACCAAGTTCCGATAGTGCCCATCGCATGGATGGTCCCACGTGGACTGCCCATTGGCAAAGTTAAAATAGTAAATGTCACCTGTGATGTCCTGGCTGGGGATGAGCAGAGGCCAGCAGTTAGTCCCTACTCAAGTCCAAAGCTATTTAGGGAAAAAAGTAGGAGAAAAATGATGAGGAGGCAGAGGAGGAGGAATTGGGTGAAAGGGAAAGGAGAGAGCAGACAGAAGGAGAGAGGAAAACAGGAAAAGATAACACAAGGCTGGAGGGTAGCCTTTAGCTAAGAAGGAAGGAGTTAAGTTAGATAGGAACACAGGGTGGCATGCCTAGATGGACCTGTAAAATCACTGGGGCTCCTGGGAATTCATGCTAGACTGGTGTAGGAATAAACTTGGTTTGAGATAGTTAAGTACAGATACTATGGTATACTGGCGGTAAAATCTAGGATAGACCTTGCTTAACATTTTTATAAATGGTCGGAGGAAGAGAGATACATTGTGAAAGCTCTGGTTTTATAAAAGCCTCCAAACGCATAAGAGGTGAGAGTCCAAGCTAGTGGAATCAGCAACAGAAGAAATAATGCAGAAGGTGGGATTCAAGAATCTGAACTACACCATGGACAAGTCCAAAATGCTGCAGCCATTTACCCTACCCACCGTTATCAATCATCCATTCAAATGACAGGAAAAACAGCATTCGCAACAGCAAGATAAAAGATGTAATGTCCGGGGGTGCGTCCCAGTGCAGAGGCTTTATAAAGCTTTCCCGAAAAGCCGGGAAAAGGAGGAAAATGAGAGAGACTCCATGTTCCTGAATAAACAGATTCAAGTCTGTAAACAAGCCAATCATCCTCTAATCCATGTGATCCCAGTGGAACCCCTATCCGGCTCCTTATGAAACCTGACAACTCAATCTCTACTCAAATAAGATAGAGAATACACAGCAGTAAAGAGGGGAAACATCAGGGGTGCTTAGTATCAGGATTATGTATAAAAAGCAGCTATACAAATGGCCACACGGAAAGATGCTCAACGTCACTCAGCATTCGAGGAGCGAAAGTTAAAACAACAATAAAATACCCCTCCACACCCATTAGCATGACTAGTATCAAAAAACCAGAAAATAACAAGTACTGACAAGGATGCAGAGAAACTGAAACCCTTGTGCTCTGTTCGTGAGAATGTAAATTGTGCAGCCAGTGTGGAAAACAATATGGCAGGTCCTCAAAAATTGAAAATAGAGCTCGGCCAGCGTGGTCAGAGGTTGAGCATCAACCTATGAACCATGAAGTCACAGTTCAATTCCCACATGCCCGGGTTGTGGGCTCGATCCCTGGTGTGGAGTGTGTAAGAGGCAGCCAGTAAATGATTCTCTCATTGTTGATGGTTCTCTCTCTCTTCCTCTCCCTTTCTCTCTGAAATCAATAAAAAAAAATATTTTTAATTGAAAATAGAATTACCATATGACCCAACAATTCAACCTCTGGGTATATACCCAAAAGAACGGAATGCAGGATTCAAACAGACATTTGTATATAGGCCCTGGGAACTTGGGTTTTAATGCCGATGTTCACAGCAGCATCCTATCTAATAATAGACAAACATGGTAATTAACCGTACCTCCGACACGCTTCCCATTGGCTAATCAGGGCGATATGCAAATTAACTGCCAACCAAGATGGCGGCCGGCAGCCAGGCAGCTAAAGCGAACAGGAGGCTTGCTTACTCCAGTGATGGAGGAAGCCAAGGTTCCCCACCTGACGCGGCCCAGCTCTGAGCTGCACTCTAAGAAACAATGTTGCAAATATAGAAGCTAAACAATCCCCAGAAACCTGCATTCAGTCAACTAGGCCTCAGAGCTGGAGTTGCAACAGTGTTTCAATTACAGAAGCTAAACAAAGCCCAGATACCTGCTTTCAGCAGCCGAAGTCTCAGAGCTGGAGCCGAGCCTCAGAGCTAAAGCTGGCTCTCAGCTCCAGTGACAGCAATAGAAGGTAAATGAATCCCAGAATAAAAAGAAAAAAAGAGCCGAAACCGGTTTGGCTCGGTGGATGGAGCGTCGGCCTGCGGACTGAAGGGTCCCGGGTTCGATTCCGGTCAGGGGCATGTACCTGGGTTGCGGGCACATCCCCAGTGGGAGATGTGCAGGAGGCAGCTGATCGATGTTTCTCTCTCATCGATGTTTCTGGCTCTCTGTCTCTCTCCCTTCCTCTCTGTAAAAAATCAATAAAATATATTTAAAAAAAAAAAAAGAAAAAAGAAAAAAAGGAGAGGTTGGGAGCTTCAGTCACCCGCCAGCGTGGTCTGAAAACGGCCCTCAGCCCCTCACCCAGACTGGCCAGGCACCCCAGTGGGGACCCCCACCCTGAAGGGGGTGCGACCAGCTGCAAACAGCCATCAGCCCCTCATCCAGGCTGTCCAGGCACCCAAGTGGGACCCCCACCCTGATCTGGGACACCCTTCAGGGTAAACCAGCCGGCCTCCATCCGTGCACCAGGCCTCTATCCTATATAGTAAAAGGGTAATATGCAAACTGACCCTAACAGCAGAAAGACTGGGAATGACTGGTCACTATGACACACACTGACCACCAGGGGACAGACGCTCAATGCAGGAGCTGCCCTCTGGTGGTCAGGTCGCTCTCACATGGGAGGAGCTCTGTTCAGCCACAAGCCAGGCTGATGGCTGCCAGTACAGCGGTGTTGGTGGGAGCCTCTCCTGCCTCCTCAGCAGTGCTAAGGATGTCCGACTGCAGCTTAGGCCTGCTCCCCGCTGGCAAGTGGCCATCCCCCGAGGGCTGCCGGGCTGCCAGAGGGATGTCTGATTGCCATCTTAGGCCCAATCCCCCGGGGAGCGGGCCTAAGCCAGCAAGTGGTCATCCCCTGAGGGGTCCCAGACTGCGAGAGGGCACCGGCTGGGCTGAGGGACCCCCCCTCCACCCCCCACCGAGTGCACAATATAATAGCCGCAGGTGGAAACAACCCAAATATCCACTGACAAACAAATGGGTAAACAAGATGCTGTACACACACACAGAGGATATTATTCAGTCTTTAAAAGGAACTAAATCCTGAAGAATGCTCCCACATGGATGAGCCCTGCAGGATCTACGCTAAGTAAAATAAGCCATTCACAAAAGGACAGGCGTTACATGAACCCACTTATGTGAAGTACCTAGAATAGACAAGGTCATAGAGACAGAAAGTAGACCAGAGGTAACCAGGAGCTGAGGGGGGTGGGGGGGGGGGGTGGTGAGCAGTTTTATTTAGTGGAGACAGAGTTTCAGTTTAGGAAGATAAAAGTCCTGGAGATGGGTGGTGGTGATGGTCGCACAATACTGTGAATGTACTTAATGACACCGACCTGTATATCCAAAAATGGTTAAAGCAATAAATTTTGCTATTTAAAAATATTCTGTAACTTACAACTGTAGGACCTCGAGCACAACTGCACAGAAGTGATGACAATGGACATTTCTGCCTTGTTCTTCAGTGCACAAGAAAGCATAAAGACAATTAACAGACAAGAAGCTAAGAGAAAATAAATAAATAAATAAATAAAATACAAAAAGAAAAAAATAATAATAATAAAGTAATAACAATAAAAAAGAAGCTAGGAGAAACAGTAGTATAAAATTAATGCCCCAGAGTATCAAAGAGCTCCTCCTGCTTAACAAAAATAAAGAGATAAACAACACAATAGACAAAAAGGCAAAGGATATAAACAAACAAATCACAAAAGACAAACCTTGGCCAACTGACGGCCAACTCAACTCTATGAACAACTTGGGAAATACAAATTAAAACAATCAGGTGTAATTTCTTGCCTTCAGACTGACAATTTTTTACATAGATAATTTTTTATAATATTTTTAAATGAACAATCATATGTGCTATTGGTGGGATTAAAAAATAATTTAATTAATTTAATTATAATTAAATAATAACTAACAATATTTAAATTCTGCACATCTTGCCCTAGCCGGTTTGGTTCAGTGGATAGAGCATTGGCCTGCAGACCGAAGGGTCCCGGGTTCGATTCCAGTCAAGGGCACGTACTTGGTTGCAGGTCCGCCCCAGCCCGGGCCCTGCTTGGGGCTCGTGCAGGAGGCAATCAATCAATGTGTTTCTCTCAACAGATAATTCTCTCTGTCTTTCCCTCTCTCTTCCACTTTCTCTAAAAATCAATGGAAAAATATCCTCAGGTGAGGATTAAAAAATAAATAAATAAAAATAAATTCTGCACATATTTTCACACAACAATTAAAATTCTAGAAATTATTTCTAAAGAAACACATAAAAAACTTCGGGCAATATACTTAACTGAATGAAGAAAACATCTGCCCTATCCTCACCCCATGCCAACATGAATAAATACTAGAATAATATAAAACAACAATTACAACAATAAAATAATATGACAAAAAAAGTTTCCAACTCTGCCAGACAGAAGGAGAAAATCGCACATGCCAGACACAGAAGGAAACGGGAGCTCCGAGTGAGAAGTGCACCACATGGCAGGTTGAGGCTGGGACCGGACCTGGGCACAGGCTTGGGAACTTGCATTTTAATATCAATTTAGGGACACAAAATGCAGCCTTTGGCCTCCATGAGTTTAGAAACTGGAAATGAGAAGCCTGCATTTATCTGTGGGCCTTTAGAATGCTCCCTCCGTGAATAAAGTAACCCCGAGAGCCATGGAGACCACAAAGCATGTACCCACTCCAGGTTCTAGCAGGCAATAACATTTCATGGATAACTGAAACCCCAAGACACATGTAGGTATAGAGGCCAAGATGTGTTAAGGAAACCCAAAGTCAGGAAATTGGTACAAAAATGCAGTCCTACACCACTGAGAAACCGTGGACAGAAGCCACAATAAAGCCACTCGGCAACTAGGGATGAGACGCTTACAGAAAGTGACCCACAGAAGGTGAGCTCACAAAGTGCACAACAAATGATCACAAACCACGGAACAAACAGCTCGTCCGACAGAAAGGCTGTGACAGAATGAAGAGAAACAGCAGCACATCAAAAGCCTTGGCTCCCGAGAACAATGAAAGAAGACGGAAGAACTACATTTACAATTACTGTAGGA